GTGACGGTACGTACGTACGTACGTAGTACGAGAGAGAGAGAGAGAGAGAGAGAGAGAGAGAGGAGAGAGAGAGAGAGAGAGAGGAGAGAGGAGGAGAGAGAGAGAGAGAGATGGTGCTGAGAATGGGGACCGTCCCTCCTTATACATGCCTCAAGGACCCTAGGTTATTCCACTTAGATTAGGATTCAGTTTGACTAAAAGATTTCTAGGTGATCTATGAAATGAGAGAGAAACAAATCAAAGTCATTCATCCCTGAAATCAGCCATCATGATTTTCGGAGGAATCTAGGAATCTTATCCTCGGATCTTTGATCCATATTCACTTCTAGTCAATCTAGACTATGACTAGTCAAAACTCATATCCTAATTTTACTAGAATTCCTTTTATCTTCTCAGGAAGAGATTGTAGAAATGAAAGTGAAAAGGAGTCTTGGTCAAAATTCAAAGATTGAAAGAATATCTCCTAAACACAATATTCTTTAGGATTTTTCAAGATTTTCTATAACACATGAACAATTCAAATCTCTGAATCCCCAAAAGGGCTCCTAATACTGGGTAACATATGGAGTGTCCTACTATGTGGGCCACGTCCCAACTATGTGGTCCACACGTGTGGGGGTTGGGCCTTAGTGAAAGAAGTGGCCATGTAGAATTCCAAGCTATAAATTCAATTTTTTTTCTTTTCTTTTATTAATTACTGAAAATTCTACTTTCAGGTGCCACAGATACAATAAAATAAGCTTACTACAATCTGGAATCTTTAATAACTTACAGCCAAAAGAGTTCACTTAAAAAAACAAAAAAAACTCCAAGCTGAACATAAACTATCATTTTTTTTAGGAATAAAAACAAGAATAGTAGAAAAGAAAATTAAATAACTGAGGGAAAACTTGCTAACTTTTTGCCTAAGTTTACCCCCTTAGGGTTTAGCACACCCTACACCCCACACCTGATTGCTTGACAATAGCGCACTTGAAATTCTAGATACTGCTGAATCCTCTAATCTGAAATTGGAAAGCAACTTTGGGATTTCCTTATCTGAGATTTATGGGGCTGATTAGGGTTTCATTGAGAACCCTCTTTCACTTGGGGGAGGCCAAGATGGCACCTCCCCTAAAACCAAAACAATAGGCTGGGTGTGCTCTCAATCTCTATAGATATGCTCATGCCATCCCAACACTTATGGGGGGTGGCGTGCCACCTAGAGAGAGGACAAAAGCTTGAGAGAAGAGAGACAAATGCTAGAGGCATCGAACTCCCTTGATTCAGGCCTTGAAGCTTATACATACACAGATCTAGGAGGAGAAATATACAGAAGTATGAAAAATATCAACACCGGGGCATATGGGGGCCCATATACCTGATTATATGCCGGGGGTTGTCCACTTCTACTCTTCCTCGAGCTGAGGCCTCCAAGTGAGTCACGAAATCAATAACCTTCTCTCTCAATATGATGATCTTTACATGCAACTTGGAAGATGACGTTATCAAGGGCTTATCTTTCGAATATCGATGCAACAACTGGATACAATTTGACGTAACTCTCCTCTCACTTCCTGTCTATCAAGCACAAGGATAAGGATTGTGAAGGGGCGTATATGGATTTAGGGATCAGTCCCTTCTCTCCCTGAGAAATGGGGTTTAAATAGATTTTCTGATGTGATGAGGATGAGAGTTGAGGAAGCTTTTCCAAATCTTTGACCACAACCAATCATCTCTCACAGATTGGTTCAATATGGTAAACTTATATCTTGGTTCGAATTTGGAAGCACCTCAGGTGGTTTCAATGGTAAGCTGTCTTATCTTGAACTTGATTATATCCTAATATTTGAATTTGAACGTGAAATTACCAAGATATGGTGCGATATCCCATGAGAGAATCGAGAAAAGTAATTAGTAAATACATCTTCAGTTAGACTGCAGAGCAATTTCGACATGTCTGAGTGTTTCACTACCACTCTCTGCTAACAATTCCTTTCACCATGAAATTTTTTGAGTGATAGAGGACTCAAAGATGAACAAACTGGGTCATACCTCACCGCAAATGGATTACGGATGAGGGAGATATGGTCTATTGAAGTGCACTCATTTCTGCTGTGGATTACAACAACATATCAGAGAGTTGCGGGCTTAATCGCTTTCTCTACATGGAATTATAGACCCTAGGAGTATGATAATTTTGTAGAGGGGACTATGACACACATCTCCACAAGATTTGGGTTCAAGACTCCATATTTCGGGAGAAATCGGACAACGGGCTCATAGAAGGGGTTATGATCCACTATTGTTTTCTTATCTAACCCAACAAAAACCTATGACCCACAGTCTCAAAGTAAGGGCTCAGGATTGGTTGATCAAAGCTGGATAATAAACAGTTGAACTATGACTCTGGAATGTGGATTACAGTTCCTCCCTTTAAGTGCAAGTCTAGCACTTGTCACCACAATACAAATGGGGCTCTCTCTATGCACATTTTCACGTGTCCCTCTATAGCGTTGTTTCCCAATAATGTGGTTGTTATGTGTACATGTTGTGTGAAAGTTTGTTTAGACTTTAGCCCTTGCTCTCGTAGGCCTGCAACTACGCACAGGTGACTCACAGTTCTCCTGGCCTACAAACATCATCCTTGGGGATCTATCTGATCGGAAAAGGAGATGACCTACAGTAAACCCTTCTCAGTAGTGTTATATGCCTAGGGGTAAGGGTTTTGGACATAACCATGGCTGTAAACTGCCCCCGTCCAACCCATGGTCAGTCAACACACACTTTCACTGAAGCGCATATTCCATTATAAATTATTATTTTTACAAGCTCTCTAGGCCTCAAAAGGCCACAAAACCTAACAAGAATGTTAGAAATAATGTTGACAAAGCTGGTCCCATTACAAAAGTAAGAGTTGTGGTTGGATGATGTATTTGTTACCAAGGTGAGTGCTCATGGGGGCGCATGTTGAGAGGACGATCAATGGGAATCTCTCTTGGAATCCAAGACAAGGTGGAGATTTGTTGGAGTTTATCTTGACTTCCAAGTTAAAGTCGCATGATAATCTTTGAGTTTCCATATTTAGTGGGATATCTTCACCCAAAAAATATTTAGTGGTATATGAATCCCTAATTTTAAGAAACATATATGTCAAGATATCTTTAACTTACCAAAAGGATAGAGGATATGGGTTGCGCATTCACTGATTCCTTTTGGGGGTTTCCTTATTTTCTCTATAAATAGACATTGTAGAGAGAGAGAATGAGTTAAGGGGTTGTGTAGAGTGTCCCTGAGTTGTGTAGAGAGAAGCTTTGTGAGAGATTGAGTTTGTCTCTAGTTATCTTAGGTAAGAGCAATCTTGTAATTTTCTTTCGTTTGATTAGTGGAGAATTGTCAATCATTGTTGCCTGTAAATGTAGTCACATCTATAACAAACTATGTAAAATCCTTGTATTTTTTTTGCATGATTTATTTCTTGCTTTATTTTTCTTGCTTACTAATGTTTGAGTGTTTTCTCGCTCTTTATTTGCCAAAAATCAACCTATCGGATTTTAGATCTTTTGCGCACAGTCATCTAGATTTATTTATTTTCTACAGAAATCAGTTTGACATAAAAATTGGAACAAGCGATAGATTTTTATCAAGTCACATACAAGTAGAATATTTAAAAATATTTTAATATTGCATAATGATCAAACTAGCCTTGTCTTTTTCCATTGGCAGTTTGGTCATTTTTGGCTTCAGAATAATTTTTAATATTTTATTTGGATGCACCATACTAATTTCATGTAAATATGATTTTTAGAAAAGAATAAAAATGCAAGACTATCATGCAACACGGGACATCGGATTGCCATGTTTCAATCCTAACCGTTGGGCGTTTGCCTCTTGTATGGGGTTGTGCGTACAAGATAGCTTTTATGCTTGTTTGGTTTTCTGTGACTGTCTGCTCCCTGGTTCTATTTTGTGCATGAGTGTTTTATGTGTTGTGGTCTATGAGTTCATCAAGAAGAAGGTTTCCAAGTGGCAGAAATCGGTGATCTTTATTTCCCTGGTTTCGTGTGTTGATCTTTTTAGCAGGCTGGTTTCTGAATATCAAGACAAGGTGAATCTTCGGAAGTGGACATTGTAGGGTTTACCATTACATGGGCGAGACTCAACAATCCCATCATAACTTTAAATTTTAGAATTGCTTATCTGTGATAAGAAGTTTTTGGACTTGTTTCCTCTCTATATTAACATGTGATGTCAGTCATTTGTTATTTAATCATTTCATGTGCCATTGCGGTATTTACATGGTTTTTCTTTTGTGCTTTTTGTTTTGTGCAGAGGGTTAATGTATGTTTACGAGATGCTTGCTGGAAATTTATAAACACTTCTGCCTGCTTTGAATTCCTTGACTGTGGTCATGGGAGCTATCTGGAAAAATTCAAAGAGTCATCACTTTGGGATAGCTGGAAGAATAATTCTGTTGCTGCCCAATGTTATGACGCTAAAAATGGCCCCTTCCCATATGGAATTTATGGAACAGCTGTTCCTGTTACTATTGAATCTAGAATTATCTCAAGATATATTTATTCTTTGTTTTGGGGTTTTCAGGTACTTGAATTTTCTTTTGCATTTGCTAACGTCCCTTTTCCTTTGAGTTTTGGGGTTTCCTTCGAGTTTTGCTTAACGTTTTTAAGTCAAATTGGACTTTTGGCTCAACCCATAGTTGTTGGGTTTGGGAGCAGGACCAGGAGCAGAATCGGGACAGGGAGTGAGGTATTGTGAAATGATGGAAGATCCTTGTGGTTGGGAGCGTTGTCCGTACAATGCATATGTTAGGGATGAAGTTCACCAAATGTTGTGGATCGAGATTCCAACTTTTTGGGATTTTGATCCTCACCTTTTGTGATCATGATCCCAAGCTTTGGGGATCTAGGATTATATATACTCTTTAAAGTGGGTATTTTTTATTTATGGCCAGCAAGTAATGCAACTATATTAAAACTAAAGTTGTGTTGCTAACTGGCTTTAAATAAAGAAAATCATCAGCTTGGTTGTTATCCTAGTCTTTAAGGTTGGGATTGAGATCCCTAACAATGGGAACGATGATCCTTGATAGTCAGGATTGGGATCCCAAAATCTAGAAATCGGGATGAGATCTTGGAGTGGGACTGCCACCTGTTTGGAAGATCCCTGTAAATATGGCTAAATCTGGTCCTGATGCGAGTCAAAACAAATTGGACTCAGCTGTTTTGTTTAAAGACTCTGCTGAGTTCTAAACAACTGCATATATTGTGGAGTTGAATGGTTAAGTTGGCATTTCTAATTACTTGTAACCTCTAAATCGTGATTTCATTTTTATATCTAATCACCTCTCAGTATTAGAACTTCCTATGGGTTGACATGTTATTTTTATTCTGGGCAACGGTTTCTATTAGTATATTATAGGATTTTCCTTCTATTAGCATGGCTTCTTGTTTGTGGCCATACACTTCCTATGGGTTGACATCTTATTTTTATTCTAGGCAATGGTTTCTATTAGTGTATTATAGGGCTTTCCTTCTATTAACATTGCTTCTTGTTTGTGGCCATACACGCATGATAGCAAATCAGTACTCTAGCAGGAAACCAAGTTCCTAGTGTTTTTCCGTGGGAAGTTCTCTTCACAATGGGCATAATTGGACTTGGCCTCTTCCTCTTTGCTTTGCTTATTGGAAATATGCAAAACTTTCTACAATCTCTCGGGCGAAGGTATGACTGCTTATTCAAATGAAAATTCCAAATCTATTTTGTTACTTTTGATGTTATTTGATTTTCCTAGTGCTTATTAATTTATTTTGATAAATAATATGTATTAGTAGAACAAATCATGCATCTTTTGCTTAGTGCTCATTTTATTTCTTATATTTCATTTTATGTTCTCTAAAACTAATCCTTTTATATATATATATATATTTATTTATTTATTTATACATATAGATATATAAACTTGCATGTCGCGGGATCTTGGATGTTTTGTATATTATAGGACATATACTGGTCTGTAATACATAATAGTGTGTTTGTGTGATTACAAAGTTATATCAACGGTAAAGCTGTATATTTTCAGGATTGAGTTGTATATAGTTTGTGCCTTAAGATTTGTCCGAATATCTCTTGTACTCTTTCTTTCCTTAAATAGTAGTGTATTGTATTTTAACTTGGTATTAGAGCAGGAAGCTTGGGGTTGGGGATATTTGTTTCAAACCATAATGATGTGATCTGACCGAGAGAAGGTCTCTAGTAGCCATATGATCAGAAACCCTAAACCTAGAAAATCAAGTATGAATTGAAAACACTAATGTTAAAGTCCCTTCACCCCCACCCCCACCCCCACCCCCACCCCCACCCCCAATGTGTGGTTCAAAAACCTAGATCAGAAAATTAATAGTGGCAGAATCCTAGATCTGGTCAGTGTGAATTGAAATTCCTCCACTTGGTTGTTTTGGATCAAAACCTTAAATCTGGAAAGCCTAGATCTGGAAACTAACGGTGACGCAAACCCTAGATTTCGTTGGTGTGCATCGAGAACGTAGATATGAAATTGGTATGGTGCATCAATCCCTAATTTCATCGTAAATTTCTATTTGTGTCGAGTTTGTGATACTGAACTGAAAACCCTAGAACTGGTTGGGATGCTTTGGTTTTTCAAAATTGGTTGTTGGACTCCTATAATATGTCGCAACCTTGGTTATGAGTTGTAAGATTCATATTTTATCAAGATATCTTGTATGTGGTGTTAAAAAATTCGGCCGCCCAACCGCTTAGGTGAAAAATTTCAAAAAATGCCTAGGCGCTGTTTGGGCAGTGGAATTATGCGCCCTGCCTCCGGCGCCTGCCTAGGCGGGCAAGGCGCCGCCTAGGTGTCGCCCAGTGACAGTTTGTGGTAGGGCGAAAAAAACCCTTGGCGAGGGTAAAAAAAATGTCATTTCTCCCCCCTAAAAAGGGGGGAAAAGGGTTTTGGGGGGTATTCGTGGGTGGATTTAGAGCTTCTAGTAGTTGATTTTGAGGACTGATGGTGACCCAATAGACGAAGTTTGCACCGACATCGATTTGATTTTGATATTTTTAAAACATAATCATATTTAAAAATAGGGTTTTGATTTTGTTTGCTACAACATATTATGTTGTGAATCATGTGTTTTTTCTTTTACCTTTTTTTTTTAATGATATATTTACTTGTTTGGTTGATGACTTGATGTATTTGTTTTTTGATTTTGCCTTGTTGACTTTGTGTATCGTTTCTAGTTTAGACTTCTAGTTCCTACTATGATAATTGGGATTTCAAGCATTTTAATGTCTTACAAGTTACAATCTCTTTGATAATTGTATCCGTAAATCTGTTATGTGATTATACTATTGCATTTTCGTCTATTTCACGAGCACTCCTCTACCACCTCTTGTACTTCGGGTTTAACCTCTCACAGGGCTATCCATGGAGAAAACCTTGTATTGCATATTACAACTATCGAACTTGATGGGATAAATTATCTGGAATGGTCATAGTCTGCTGAAATGTTATTGGTGGACGAGGGAGGGTGGGATATATCATTGAAAAAATTATTGGACCTAAAGAAACGATCCCTCACGTGAGAAGTGGGAGATTGAAAATTTAACTATGATGTCTTGTTGTTGCACTCAATGCTACCTTCAATTAGTAGGGGCCTCATGTTTCTTTAGATTGTGAGAGAAATCTGGGATTCGGTACACCAAACGTACTCCCAAAGCAAGAGTATGTCCTGAGTGTACCAACTGGGCAGGAGATATCCCATCTTTAATAGGGGAGTAGTCTGTAGCTACTTATTTCTATTTACTTGAAAGCCTATGGGAGGAATGGATCATTAGCAGATGTTTAAACCGGCTTGCAAGAACGATGGAGATAAATACAAGCATTTTGTAGAACATTGAGTTTTTGACTGGACTAAACCCGAGTTAGCTAGGGTTCAAATCCTCAGTCGGGATAATCTTCCATCTCTCAATCAAGTATATTCCTTTATCTAGAGCGAGGAAAGTAGAAAAAGTGTCTTGCTGCCTACACAACCAATGGATTGTTCTCCTTTTCTCAGTCTCATTACCTCCTAGCAACAATAAAAGGGGTGGATCTCAAAAATTTGGACAAAGAGGTTCCAATCATGGAGATAAGAGTAAGATGAAGTGTGATCATTATGGTAGAAGTCATCAGATTAAAGAGAATTGTTGGATTTAGTTGGTTGACCAGCAAAGTTCAATCATCTTGGACAATTCAATGCACACAATGCTTCATCTACTGGTGGTTCAACAACTATTAATACAAATCAAACACTACCCATTGCAGCACGACCCTCGTCTTCTGCCCAAAAGGAGATGATATCAGTTCGTAAGGAGGAAATTGAGCCTTTGTTGTTTGTTTGATCAGCTACATGGCCCGTTTACTGCCTCTACATCGTCCTTTACCTACTCAAGTATTCATGTTTCTGCTGATATATTTCTCTTTATCCATCTGGACAGTCCCGATCATTGATTTGGGAGCTTCAGATCGTATGATTGGTATATCTCCCTGGTTTTCTTCCTATTCTGTTTTGTTTTGTCTCTTTGTTTTGGTGGTGGCAAGGTTAGAATTGCTGATGGATCTTTTACTTCCATTGCTGGAAAAGGAACTGTAAATATTTCTCCTCAATTGTCTCATCAGGTCTTTATGTTCCTAGTGTTGCTTTAAACTTAATGTTTGTCAGTCGCATTACCAAGAGTCTACATTGTAGTGCAACATCCTTTTCTTCCCACGCTGTTTTCCATGACCTGGATATGAGGAAGATGATTGCGAGTGGTCGGTCTTTATATTCTTGACTTGTCTACTACTACTCCTCAAGCTCTTTAGTCTAGCAACAGTGTCAATAAAGATTGGATTTTGTAATGGCATCTCCGACTTTGTCAATTGCCATTTCAGTCATTGAAAATTTTATTTCCTAAGACGTTTTCTTCTACTATTGTGTCAGAGCTTCAATATAAAGTCTGTCTTGTTCTTTTTGCTATTGTCCATTCTGATGTGTGGGGTCCATCTCCCGATACTTCTATGTTTGGTTATCAGTATTTTTTTTTGTGTGGATTATTACTCTCAGTATACATGAATCTGTCTTATGAAGACCAAAGATGAGGTTCCTAATATCTTTCATAAGATGATCCATACTCAGTTTGATACTAATATTAAGGTATTTAAATCTGATCGAGTTGGAGAGTGGTAAATGGTGAGTTGTCCTATCTTGAGGAACATGGCATTGAACATCAAAACTCTTTTTCATATACCCCACAACAAAATGGGATAGCTGAAAGAAAGAATAGACACATGTTGGAAGTTAGCCATGCTCTACTCTTGAGTATGAATGTACCAAAGTAGTATCGGTCAGAAGTTGTTCTTACTGCATCTTATTTCATCAATTGGATGCCTTCTCATGTTCTAGGAAACAAATCTCCCTATAAACTTCTTTTTCCTGATCATCCACATTTTAGTGTTCTTCTTAAAGTTTTTGGTTGTGTTTGCTTTGCTCATGTTCTTGGTCCGAATCATAAGAAGTTGGACCCCAAATATGTGGTGTGTATTTTTCTGGGTCGTCCGTCCTCTCAAAAGGGTTATAGTTCTATGATGCAGTGTCAAGGAAGAAATTTGTTTCGATGGAGGCTACATCTTTGAGTCCACTCCTTTTTTCTCTATTTGTCTTCAGGGGAGAACAATGTTGAAGAGAGGCCTCGAGGCCTCATGTTCCCCTTCCTATACCTATTTTTCTTGATTTAGGAGCTCAAGTATGTTGAAGTTGGAAGAAAGGAATTAAAACTCTGTACTTGACGGTAGCAAAAGGAAGTGAAGACCACCATAGTTGACAGGCCTCCAAGCTAGTTACATACCTCTCATCCTGGTAATTCTAATTTGAAATCTATCAATTCTCAATGTGATCATTTGGATCTGCCCGTTGCTAGATAGAAAGGTAAATGTAATTGCACTGCTCACCCAATTAGCAATTTTGTTTCTTATGAGTCATTGTCTCCTTCCTACCATGCTTTTATGTCCTCTGTCTTCTCCTTCCTACCATGCTTTTATGTCCTCTGTCTTCTGTTTCTATTCCTTCGAGTGTTACAGATGCTTTAGGTCATCCCAAGTGGAAGGAGGCTATGTGTGAGGAGGTGAGGGCATTATGTAAGAGTGGTACTTGGGAACTAGTAGACGCTCTAAAGGGAAGAAGTTGATTGGCTGCAAATGGGTCTACACTGTGAGGCTCAAGGCCGATGTTACTGTTGACATGGAGGGATTAGTCGCCAATGTGTTTATTCATACCTATGGAATAGATTAATGGGAAACATTTGCCCCTCTGGCTTCCACTCGGCTACTTCTATCTATGGCGGTTAACTTGGAGTGGCTCTTGCATTAATTAGATGTCAAGAATGCATTACTTCTTGGGGAATTACAAAAAGATGTGTACATGGTACCTCCACTTGGTTTTTGTGTCTTGGATGTGGAGGAAACGTTTGTAGCTCAAGAAGTGTTTAATTTTGGAAGTTCTTACGTCATTACTTTATTAGGGAACATAATTTTAGAGCAAGAGAAATGGAAGGATTTTTAGATTGAAAGTCAATCACTATTGATTTTCTAAATGCTTCCATTTTATGTCATGATCGATATAATGCATGAATCGGTGGGATGCCTCATATTAGAAAAGTGAGATGTTTAACTAATAAACTCATTCAACTTCTAGAAATGGAGTCAAGGTACTAGTGGTCAGGGTAATAGGTGTTACAACATGACACCTGGAGTTCCATTCCTATCATGGGTAGGGGACCTTTTTGCAGTAATCTACCCCCAACAAAAAAGACATAAAATAGAAAAGAAAAAGAAAAACTCATTCAACTTCTAATTTTACTTTATTCAATACATAGGTATAACATGCCTTTTTAATTATTTTGCTCCATACTTTTATATTTGATTAAATGATTGTTGAATAATTTTTCTTTGTAGTTAATATTATTCTTGCCACTTTTAAGACCTTATGACTGAAACATTCAGAGAAACACAACATATTATTTCTCCAGGAGATTGGAAATGCAATTACAGCGCCGCGATGTTGAACAATGGATGAGTTATCGACGTCTGCCAGAGGATTTGAGGAGGTAGTCTTTGAACTATTTTCTTTTTTTTTAATAAATTGATTTGTTAACTTTTTTCATTGATTGCTCTATCATGACAAGTTTTCAGGCATATGGATTCTGTATAATATGATCCTTGTATTTTTCTTTTGCATTTATCTTATTTACTTTCTAGAGTTTTAATTTATTGTGTTGAAGGTGGCATTCCTCTTTATGATGTATAGAAGGCTGATACTTACCTTGTCGAACTTGCTACATTTTTGAAGAACTTCTTTTCTTACTAGTAGCTGCATGAATGGGGGGGGTGAGAACAAGTGTGTGTGTGTGTGTATATATATATATATATATATATATATATATATATATAGAGAGAGAGAGAGAGAGAGAGAGAGAGAGAGAGAGAGTAGTAGTATATATACGTACGTACGTAGTTATAGTAGTAAGTAATAATAAGTAATAACTAACTAACTTAACTAAACGTTAACGTTAGTTACGGTTACGTT